ACTTTTATTATAACGGATTACATAACTTCCATCTCTATTTGATGAAAGCCAGAGGCTAGATCTATTGCGGAAAAATACGTCGCTCTTCCCGTTTTACCGAATAAATCTTCGATATTAGGAAAAGGGAATATGTCCTCAATCGTCTTTTCATTTAGCTTCCGGTAGTCAATCACCATTCGAACTTTTCTTTTCCCAGAAGCGTCCACCTTTTTCGGGACCACCCATATAGGTTAGTTGTATGAAAAATTCGACGGTCTAATAATTTTATTTTCTAATAATTTATAAACTTCTAATTGAACATCCTTTTTGAAGGCTACAGGATACCTGAGTTTTTTGTGTAAACTGGTAGATCGTCCTTTGTATGAATTTTGTGTTTCAACAGATCATTACTACTTAGCTGATCCTTTTCTCTTTTTATGATTTCAGGAAATTCTTTAATCAGTTTTATAATTTTGCAATTTACCTCTTCGTTCGTATGGTTAGTTCTGAGCAAATTAGGTATTTAATTAATTAATTTTTCAAGATTATCTGGATAACTGGTCATGAGTTCACTGAGTGAATTACTCATATACATTCATTATTATTGATAGTAACAATCCATTCTTCAATTTAATATCTATTATTACTAACTGGTTTGATTAGTCCTGTTTCCATGATGAGAATTGACTTAACAGGAAGGGAAACAATATTAAACCCTGCTTTTAGAGTAATCTTTTTTCAATCAAAAATAATAATTCATTTGAGCCTTTTTTAAATTCTAACTTTTTCTTTTCAAAATTAACATTTGCTTTGATTTCGCTTAACGTCTCATAGCATATGTCATATTTAGGTGAAAATTGAAATAGATACATTTTTATTTTTGAATCAGTAGGGAATACACTACTAGAATGGAAAAGAATATATTCAGAGCCTTCACTTTCGCCATTCGGGGTTTTGACTATAAAGTTTTCTTAAAATTTTGTAAAATTAGGAGGGACTAATGAGGGGTATATATAATTTTTAAGTGATCCGGTATCTATAAGCCATTTTCTGTTTTACAAATCGACAAAATACGTTAATGGTTTATTTATCGTTTTTAGTTCAAACTGACTGTGGGTGGGGGGGGTGCTTGTCTTTAAAAAATGATTGGTAAGATTGTTGACCGCTTTAGTTAATGAATCGATTTGATCTTTCCTACGTTGCATTTCATTGTGACGTAATTTACCTTGATTATCTAAATGAGTTAATTCATACGGGGATATGAATTTTTTTGGGGGATTTTTTAAAATCCGGTCTTGAGGATACAGTTCTCATTGAAACTGTGGAATCCCTTTTTGGGCTAGGAAATTGGGGTTTGAAAGGTTAATGATGGAGGGTCTGTTGTAATAGTTTCGTCTGAACATTGGGTTTTCATGATGTGGCATTTTATAGTGTGGTAATAGTGAAAAATGTTTTTTTAAATCTATTTTATTAATGGCATCTAATGTTGTATTGTATTTGAGTTGTTGTAAAACGATGCTGCAATCATTTATTAATTTAGTTCTTGCATCATCTAAGCCTTTTATTTGTAATAATTGTAAATGTGCACCTAACGAAGGATGTACACCGTGTACTAGCGTTTAATTGAAGCGGTAAGTTAATCAAGAGTTCTCCTGTTATTCCATCTAATCTATAACGTGTGATTACTGTAGTTCTTTTTTCATCTAATCTGTTTAAAAATTCTCTAGGGTGTTCTCTGGGGTATGATCTCATAAATGTTAGTTCTGCTATTAGTTCCGGGATGGTTCGACTATCAGCAAAATTTTTCTTTAACTCTTTAATTAATTCAATGACTGTCGAAAAATTATTGTTAAAAGCTACGCCTTCAGCAGGTCCTTCTAAATGACCTGAAGAGGAGCCAGTGATTACTTTCTCTTTCAATTATATTTTCATTACAGTAGCTACCGTACATTTCCTCACAGCTAGTAATGAAATGAGACAATTTATAATGGGTTCCATCGTATTTTGTTAGGAATTTAAGATTTCGAGCAGGAGAGGTTTAGAAGTAGGCATTATATTTCTTGTTAATTTGAGGATAGAAGGTTTAATAAATGTGTTAGGGTGACATATAACAAAAGTACTCACAGTGTGTTGATAACGTATCTCTGGTTCTTCTTCTTCCGACGATGTAGAAGGAGTTCTCTGCCTGCAGGTCTGTGTGTAGAAGGAAGAAATTTTCTGCGACATATTTCTCTCTTCGACCAGAGTAGATCTTCTTCTCTACTTTAATGTTTTAAAGTCGGCCAATTTAGCGTTCCTTCTTTCAGACAGCGGATTACGAGCTAATGCTCACGTTCCAATGCGGGAAATTGATCACGCAATAATAGTGAAAATTTTACAATTAATTAAGGTTTTTAGTTGAGATGAAAAAAAGTTAATGGCACGAGAGGGATTCGAAAAATGGCAAAAGGAGGGAAAGCTCATTAGGTGGGGTTGAGATGGGGAGTTGATGTCCGAGTGGATCGAGGTCACGATAGCTCAGGTGGTAGAGNGTGAAGTGTGTAGTGAGTATAGTAGTATAAGCTAGTGTCCGAGTGGAAGTCACGATAGCTCAGGAGGTCGAGCAGCGGCGTATCTAGCCGAAGGTCGTGGGTTCGAATCCCTCTGGTGCCATTAACTTTTTTTCATCTCAACTAAAAACCTTAATTAATTGTAAAGTATTAATTGGTCAGGCGGACCACGAAAATAGTGAATTTAATAGTGAAACTTATAATCAATTGGACTTACTAAAATCTGTGAACTTCCGCTGTACCTGTTCACGGGTGCCAGTTACAAGTTTGGTACACCAAAGGCCATTTAACAAAAAAGATTTATTTGCTGTAAGACATGTAGAGAAAAGTATAGAACAGAAAAGGCGAGAGATTCGTGAGAAATACGCGCTGTTTAAGATAAGCGCCGGGTTTATATGAAGTCGTCATGCAGAGTCAGCCGGGACAGATTTTTCAACTCTTAACTATGGACATGATTTTCCTATTTATCTCCGGTCCACGTGTCTTTTCCTGTCCAAATTTAGAATGAAAATTTAAGCTTGTCTTGCATAATAAGCCGTCATTTGCAAATGTATGATGTTGAAATTAAAACTGGATTGTTGTATGTTTCGACTCTATAATTTTTCAGACGAAATGGCGAAAACTTTTGGAACCTTTGTCGATGTAAACTATAACAAACGTTTATTGAGTTTAACTTCTGGTCGAACCCCTGTCTTTTTTTATTGGGGCGTTTTTGTGAAGAAAACCCGAGACTTCTAATTTTTTATATTTTACTTAGTGCCAGGGTAGCCAAAACTGATTCGTCTAACTCTCCATAATTACTGGATATTAGATATTCCAATAATAGGAACTTAACTACACTGAGAGGCAAAAAAGTGGCCACCAATAATACTTTAATTATCTCTTACACATATCTCCATTGATGAACTTACAAAATACTTGGACCGTTATAAAGGATTAAAGGTAACTAAACACAGATAAAATTACATTCACAGATAAATCCTTGAATAATCAATCTCTTCTTTGTGGTTTTTTTTCTGTAAAGTTTCTTTCTAACCTTCCGGTGGCTTGATTTTTATTTAAAGTTATACCATTTTTAAATTTGGGAAGGCGAAGACACTATAACTATTATTTGTAAATGATTTAGTTAAAATTTAACTTCGTGAATTATTTTCCACAATGAGTAACCTTGGCGGAAATTCCAATTGTGAGATAGGGCATGATCCATTCATCGAAATTTTAAATAATCATAAATCCTAGGATGTTACTAGGATATACGTCTATATATAGAAGATATACTTCTACCCCAATCTCCATCCCACAAACCTGAGGATGGTTACCACACAAACCAGAACCGAAAAATTCAGGCAAAAACATAATTTTAGCAAAATAAATTTGGTATTTTAATCTCTATTGCAATGGCAATATACCTTGAGGTCATCTGTGTCCACACATGTAGTGTAGTTTGTCCAGGTCTTGTTGCTGTCCGGATGCCGAAACCATGTGCCGTCTTCCAAACATGTCCGATGGCCCAGACCTGGATTCGAAAAATAAATTATAGCATACAAACAAGTTTTTCAAATTAGCACACAAATTTCTACATTATTTTAAGGCCATTAAGTTCACCTGAATTTGCTGCCGTTGGTTATGTTTTTAGTAACAATTATAGTTTAGCCATTAATAATATTACAAATTTGCAAATGTGTAAAGCTAAAAACATGAGGAGACTTTTATGGTTATGTAAGTTTTAAAACGAGCTCTCAGATGCGAGTTTTATGGTTGTACTCAAGTTCCAGCAAAATCCTGCTTTATCCCTGAAGACGGCCTGCATCCAAGTAATACAAGGTTTGAGAATTTTTTGATTATCCTTCATCTGGCTTTAAGTTTCTCCCTCATATCCTTGATAATATTTTCTAAGTTCTGAAGGATTTTCCTAGTTAGAATCCACGCAAGTGTTGCATTCAACTTTCCTTTCAAACTCGGATTTGATACTCTGACAAATTCCTTTAAAATATTTGCGAATAATTAATTATTTTAGAACAAACCAACCCTCCCGTTCAAGAGGTTACACTGCGTCCCATACCCCGACGGAACCTAGTGGCAGTCCTTAACTCCTCATGCTCTTTTTAACCCCTTAATCTTACCTTTTATTTCCGTAACAACTGTAACAACCCGTCCCCACACTAATCTCTTTTCCTATTCCAATTCCTGGCGTCCCAAGGTGTAGGGAGGGGGTGGTGTGCCGGTTCATCTTTAATGGCAGCCCCACTAATCGGCTAGGGTTGGAAGGGAAGCTGCTAAAATTAATGAGCTACAAAATGTTTAAAACAAAACTTTTGAAGAACTAGTACCGATATCCGATTTGCCAGTACTGTCAAAAGGACCAGGCCACCCTTGACGGTTTTATGTTGTTTGTTCACTCATAAGAATCGTTTAAAATAAATTCATTTCTATCAAATAATTCGGTTTTACCTTTTCTTTTATTTAATTACGTCGTGTGGGGTATGGCAAAATGGTAGCACAGCGTGGTTAGTAAAAAAATAACATTAATAAAATAAAAATAACAAAATAAAATAATAAAATAATAATAATAATAGAAAATAAACATGGACCTAGGTGAGCAGGAAAGCAGGAATGTTTCTGATTCAGACAGAATGAGCAAGTAAATGCGGAAAAGAATGATCCTTATATTTCTGATGAATTTGTTAAATTAATAGAAAAGTAAGTAAAAGAGTTTTGTGCAATATGTCCTAACGTCCAAAATAAAATTTCTAAAAAATACCGGGCTAAATTTGCTACTTCTATGACGTCTAGAATACTAAATCCTGTACAGCGGGATAAGGTTCTCGTCGTGGAAATCTAGGTAATCTAACGGATGTAAATAGATAGGAAAATATTTCTCATAAATCAGTTCCTCAGGAATCCGTAACACCCGGGGGATCAGGAAGAAGAGCAACTCCCAAAAAATTGTTTCGTGAAAAAGAAGTTCAAAGGGAATAGCACAGAAAATGATGACACTCAATTTGTACCTAAATTTTCTTGTTCATATTCAAATAACGGATATCTGGATAGTAAACAAAAAGAATTAAAGAAAAATTTATCCGGGCATCCAAATTACATAGTTCATTAATAACTTGCATAAATAAATTGGATTTATTTATTAATTACAAATGATCCCGAGTCTATTTTCAAATTTCTACATGCGCTACATCCGCACATACATTTATTAGCGTGAATGGAGAGGTGTATCCTTAATTACTTAGAGGAATCGAGTACTCTGGAGTAGTGTGAATATACACTGGTAGGGAATGTAATTTATTAGCGAGAATGGAAGGAATTATCCCCATCTACCCCGAGGAATATCAGGTACTCTTGGGTCGGGTGAATGCTAATCAGACTATCATATTTCTGTGTTTATGTGTATTTGTGTTTGTTATTTGTCTTATTTTATCCACAAGTTACGAGGCTCTAAGTAACAGAGAAATTAGACTAATAAGATAAAGAAAAATGTTGATTAACTTTATACCATAAAATATAGAAACTCAGCTGTAGAACAAAAAAGTAGGATTAATACGCGATAAAGGTAATAAAAGAAATATCAAGCTAAGGAGAGAAATCTGGTGATGACCAATATAGCTTGCCGGCCTTAAAACAAAAGACTACACTACTAACAATAAAAGTCTTTATCACAATTATGTCGGGGTATCAGTAAAAATCAATCAGATTTGACTAATCTAACTATATTCTCCACTCGTTTTATTTAATTCTGACAACATGTCTGTTACATGATACATGATACATAATAATATAATGTAATGATGAATAGACTTACGTTTGGGATCGAAACCGAAGATGAAATAAGGACAAGGGACGTGGATCACAGCTCCGGGCGAAGTTGCGTTGATACACGTCCATCCGTCGAACTCTTTCGGACACCCAAAGCCATCTGTAAACATAAATTGTGTGATAATCATCACTTATCTTTACCATTCCAATCTTTGACTGGATTAATAACGAAAACTACAATTATTTTTATTTTTTATTTAAACAATCAAGAAACGGGATTAACTTTTTACAATTGCGAAATTCTGATTTTCAGAAATTTTATGGTTATATAATACATACAAATTATATAGTACAATAATATAAAAAGGGGTAACAATAAATCATTACACTATTTCAATCTGGGCACTTTTTATAATATAATCTTGCAATTCTGTTTACTTGTCTTTGGAAATGTTTTATAAAACATTATTTATTGCTATTAGTTTAAAAAATTCATTGACCCAAGAGTAACTGTACATATATACGAAAATGAAAGATCTGTCATTTCATCGGGCGGTAGAGAAAGCAGACAGCCAATGCTAGATTCTCTTTTATTCAGTTGGGACTTAGATAAGGTCAGGATAGAAGGTCACGATGCCATCGCCGTTTTTAGTTATATACATTAGTTTGTTATGTACGGATAATGTAATATATAATATGTAACTTTCGGACTAGGAAAGGGGTCTGTGTATCCCCTATCATTATTGACTGCAACGTTTTTTAGTCGGGTTTTATGGATGTGGATTCTGGATAAGTGATCCAATAAAGCCCAAGGAAGCGAACCTGGGTGTATGGAGGATCTTGCAGTTTTGTGTGATTCGCTGTGCAGGTCTGACGTCTGAGAGCAAATGACAAGTGACGGCTTTTTCGTTTACAAGCTTGATCAGCCGAGTACACCAGTCGGTTATTTTACGGGGTTTCTTAAATTACTTCTGTTGTTAGGTCGGGTCAGAATTTTTGACTGCGTGAGCATGACAGCAGGGTAAATTATGTTATCTGATGGTAGTCTTGTCCTTTGCCATTTCGTGTGGGCTTGACGTTTGGTCATTATTATTTATCATAAATGAGTCTTGGAATGAGTCGGATAAATGTTTATTTAATGTTTTTGGTAGTGTCGATGTCCATAAAGTTTCTTGGAAGGTTGTGGTGAATTTATTAAAGGCTGCACATAGTTCGTCCCTAACCAAACCGAACCATCCCAAACCAAATTCTAGATATTAATTCTGACCATAATTACTATTAATGATAACTAACCTTTTGCTTTAACCAAAATATTTTCTTGATTAGGATTATCAAGTAAAATAAATTTGTTGAAGTCGTAAAGAGCGGTCAAGAATGATGTGGTTAAAAAAAATATCTTTTTCATTAAAATATGAATCTTTTTCATTTTTTGCAAATGTTTCGACCTTTATTCGGGTCATTTTCACGGCCTGGGTAAAATGTTCATTGGAAAAAAAGAACCAAGTACTTTATACTTACATAAAGTGTGGTGGTATTCTTGTGGTGTCATAGTGGTGGTTTTGTGTGAAAGTGTTGTGAAACGTGAATTTGTATTATGCTGTTTTTATATGGGTTTGAGAGGGTGAGGTACGCGGTAAATCAGTAACGGGGTTTCTCAAACTATAGGGAAAAAACACCACCAACCGACCTAGACATTTCCACCCAACCAAACTGAGCCCCAAATTGTTTCTTCTCTAGTAAACACTAGTTCTTCTTATCAAATTATTATTTCCGTTTTATTTACTTTTTATTCAATTATTTATTTACTTATTGTTATCGGTATAGAAGAATATATTTTCTTTATTAGGTTTACTCCTGTCATAAAGCTGAATAATTTGGCAAATATTTTTTGGCGTATTCGGGAGAGAATAAAATTTCCTTAAGTCATAATATATGCGACATGATAGTAAAACATGTTTTGCTGTTGTTATTTCATTAAATGGTTCGTATACAGGCGGAGGGTCGCGGGCCACCAAGTAAGTGACCCTTAGTAGTCCGGCAGTGTCCTACACTCAACCTACTCAATATATCCTGCCCCCTTCTCTTCAACCTAAACGTTGAAAGCCATGCCGGTGTCACGAGGCGCTAGGGGTCGCCTACGGACACGTTAAGGTGGGACAAAAGACCCCCTCCGTAACAGAAGGTAGGTGAACTAAATTTTGCGCAATGGACACTCGGCTCCTGATCTCTGCAGCGGACTGATCCTAGCTTCTCTAATTGATTAAACTGTAAGTGTTTTTTGTCTCCACCGATTAAGCACCTCCGTTCGTTAAATTATCAATTATTAATTGCCACAAGAAAGTTTAAGGCCTATTTATTTTTAGTTTGTATAAATTTTAACATTAAGTTAATAAATTTATTTTTGGTCAAGAAGGTTTTGTTTTACTTTTGCTTTTCATTTTACTTTTCTTTATTTTAATTTCCCCCACGCTTTCATCACAGCGTACTCTGCTGATTTCGCTGTACGTGGGCTTTGAAACTGCGAACCGTTTCCCGGACTTAAGGTAAATGTAGGTAACCGAAGTCCGTCGCAGGATAGAGCAAAGCTGACACCTGTATGGTAGACTTGATTTCACGGAGTTTGTTGTCTGTAACTGAATGCCAGATTTTTTTCCATTTTAAATACATTTTCTCCATAAAGGCCGCAATGAGGTCATCCTTGATTTTCTCCACAACCACTTCCCATCTGCAATTGCCTCCTTGGCAGCTATATCAGCTCTCTCATTGCCAGTGATGTACCAAATGAATCACCCACCAGTGACCGGAGATCCAGAGAAAAAATACTCTTTTCCCTTTTAAGCAAGACGTCTCAATGGGTATAAGAGATCCCGTACCATAGGGTTATTCCTGAAAGAATGATTACATGCTTTCAGGGCAGCCATTTGTTGTGAGATATTTTGAAACTCCTGTTTGTATATGTAGTCAGGAGTGGTGACGTTATTACATTTCGCCAATGATAGTAGAATTTTAGGGTCTGGTAAAAGCATGGATCGAGGTCACGATAGCTCAAGCGGTAGAGCAGCGGCGTATCAAGTCGAAGATCGTGGGTTCGAATCCCGCTCGTGCCATTGACTTTTTTATCTCAACTAAAAACCTTGATTAATTATAATATATTAATTGGTCAAGCGGGCAACGAAATTAGTGAATCTAATAATAAATAGTGAACCGCTAAAAAAAGCAGGTTGGGAAATATCGTTACCAAAAGGAAAATGGCCGAGAATAATAATTTTTGATGTGCAAAACGACATGGACAAAGAAAAACTACAGAAAACGTTTTGGCATTACAATTGCGAAAACTTGAACAAAGATAGTAAACATTTTATCCCTCTTTTCAAAACAGGCAGAAGAGACAGAAACTCAACCAACTGGGTAGTCGAAGTTACTCCGAACGTCCGAAAAATTCTCCTAAGCGAGGGAAGGATCTACATGAACCTAAAATCTTCTAGGGTCCGTGATTATGTACACGTTGCCAGAAGCTACAACTGCCAGGTCTATGGACATATTTCGGCAAAATGCGAATCCAAGGATAACACATGCTCACACTGCGCCGGAAAACACGATTGCAGAGAATGTCCGACAAAAAACAAAGACCTGCCAAAGTGCGCAAACTGTTTACGAGCCAAACGGAATGTAGAACACAGCGCCATAGATAAAGAGTGCCCGGTGTACAAAAAAGCCCTCGAAATAGTAATTAGTCGTACGAATTATGGGAAGAAGTAAAGAAACTTTGAGAATCATCCAGCACAACGCACACCACGAAAAATTAGTAATGAACGAGCTGATCCAAAAAGTCTTTGAGGAGAGCATATCTTGTATTATCCAAGAGCCCTGGTAAGATAGTAGGTTATAGTTAATTGGCGGACAACAACAACTGATCCAATCAATGGGATAACAGCAGCAGCAACCGTGATCAATAGTGACCAGCTCGACATCCTCAACCTAAGTAAATTGCAAATGACCCACCTCATATGCTCCCAGATCAAGAACCGACAATCAGATTTCTACCTAATAAATGCCTGTTTCCAATTCTCACTCGACATCGAAACACATTTGAGTCACTTATCGGTAATCATTCGTGAATTGCAAGGAAAAATAGTCTTGATAACGGTAGATTCAAATGCCTATTCCACCGTTTGGGGGGACAAAAAAACTGATGCGAAAGGTCAAAAAATTCTTGAATTCATGGAAGAACACAACCTTTTCTGCATAAACAACCCTTTATCCCCACCAACTTTCAAGATGCTAAACGAAAAATCTCACATTGACCTAACACTTGAAACTGGACCAATACTAAACGAAATAACAAGGTGGGAAGTTAAGGAAAACTGGACGAGCAGTGACCACGGAGTAATAATGATGGAAATAGGAAGGAATGGCCATACATCACTAGAAGCAAGGGGTTTCGCTATCAAAAAAGCTGATTGGGTAAGCTACCGAATGATGCTAGAAAGCAAGATTATTGAAGACTACCTAGAATCCAGGAGTACGCGCACCAGAACTGAGAATAGAGCATGCCGCAAAAGCCATCACGGACGCAATACTGAAGGCCAGTGAAAAAACTATTCCCAAAAAGAAAAAATGGCAAACAGCAGGGAAGCCATGGTGCAACGAGGAAGTATCCATACTCAAAACAAGGACCAATAGTTGTATATCCAATATATTTAGCTCCAAAAACTTATTAGAAAAACGGATAATTTTTAGCGTATGTTCCGATCATGGCAAACAAATTTACAAACAAAACAATTGTGACTAAACCCTGTATAAAAAGCGTGGAATCATTGGGTAAGGAAGGACCCTAATATTTTTCTTCCAAAAAACGCTACTTTAACTGTTGAAGATCCCCAAAAGGTCGTTTTTTTTTTCGTCTGTAGCATACAATTATAAAAATTGAATGAGCTTTAGGTTGATAGATAGATAACAACGTTTATTTACAATAAAAATTATTTTACAGAAAATATACAGTACATAAAACATCCTAGACAATAGCCCACAGGCTGTCTATGGAGTTGCCAAAAGAAAAAAACAGTAGAATAATATTAATAATGTTAATAATAAGAATACTAATGCTAATAATATTCCCCGTCTTAGGGATAATTTTTAGTTGTTAAAATAGGAACAAAT